TTTGCACATACTCAGAAAAGACTACTTTGAATTTAACAGATGCCTCCTTATATTTTATCCATTTAGATCTGAGCAGGACTTTTCTATCACTTCTAGGAATAAGAATCTAATCTTAAGGGAGGTGAGTTGAGAAAGAGATGAGTCACAAAAGCCATGAGTTGAGATCACAGGAAGAAAAGAGGTGGATTAACTTGTTGGTTGGCAAAGTGATAAGGAACCAGAATGGAGACAGAAAACGACTGGGAATGACTGAGAAAAAGGTGGTGAGGAATGAGGAAAGTCATCACATGGCATGTGGATGTGAACGCAGGGAATGCAGGGGGTTGGATAAGATGGTGGCAGAGGAAGAAAAGACAGTCTGATGGTTAAAGCCACCAAACATATCGAGGGTGATGAAATGCTGTCCCTGCCTTGGCAGGCAAGTAATTTTTACCATTAATATAACCTTTAACAGAGAGTAACTAATTGTGTGTTCTATATTTCTGAGACAGTTACTTGCCATGCTGGAGTCTCCACCCCAAGTTTTGTAGACTCAGAGCTCCAACAGAAGAATCCTTCCTATGTTTTGAGCATTTATGGTGCTGTATAAGGTTAACTGTTTTCAAAATTCAGGTCCCAGGTACCCTAAAATGAGATTTGTTTCCTATCATCTTTCTGGGACTGGCAGAATACTGCTAAAATTTAAGAGCGCTAAAGGGCAAGAACATCTTCCACACTATGCTTGTTTCCTGAGATAGCAACCGTAATGTATGTCAGAGGTTCCCATTTCTGAGTAACACAGACAACAGCTTGTAACACAGGGCTTTTGAGGAAACTCTTAACTGCTCCCTTGAGAATACAGGCCCAGATGTAATTATGTTTATAGCATTTAATAGCTTTTAAAGCCAGAATGACCCATACAATTATCTTGCCTGACTTTCTGCATAACACAAGCTATAGAATTGCACTGAGCTCCCACAGTTTGATTAAAATAGATACATTCATAACGCATAGCTACGCATATGCTGATAGGCATTTTTCATCACCACATTTTCTAATGCATCTTTTGTTCTCAATCACGCTCTTAATATATATAGAAATCCTGTGACTGGGAACCACTGACCGTACAAAAACACCTCAAAAGATAAAGACATCAGTCTCTAGAACTTAAAAATAAACCCCATGGCTTGAAGGACAACTCTCCTTATACAAACTTTCCAACATAGTAATTGTGAAATCCTAGAGACCTTGGTCAAGAGTTTTCACTGAGTGAAATGATGAATTTCTCTTGAATGTTTGCAATTAAACCAATTACAATAATTTAACAACTATGAAATACAGGGAGAGATTTGGAGAAACTGTATCTACAGAAGAAGGAAACACTTTTTCTCTGTGAGAGTGATCAAGCACTGGCACAGGATGACCAGAGAGGTTGTGGAACCTCCATCCTTGGAAGATATTCAAAAGTAATCTGAACCTCCCGGGCAACTGGATCTAGGTGACCCTGCCTGAGCAGGGAGGTTGGAGTAGATGACCTCCAGAGGTCCTTTCTGTCATACCCGAGAGATTTAACCTTTCCCCACCTATTGCTGCAAGAACTGAGGTCAGCTAAAGTGCCTTCTTTTACACCTCTAGGCTGAAATACTTTCTTATAAGTTAAGTGAAGCAGTGCAAGGTGTTTGCTAATTTTCTCAAGTAGCTATTATTTACATCTATGTTTACGCAGATGTATCATATCACTACAAGTAAATTTGTGTTTGTACAATGTTCTGAAGATATAAGGCATTTGCTTATTTATGTGTTTGTGTATTTGCACAGATACTGTTTTTCTTGGATGATAAAAGCAATTCACTGCCTTTTTTAAGGTTAGTACTGAAAATCCAGCTCCCATGCACTTATTATTCATCTGAGTTGATTGTACTTTAGCTTCTTTATGGACTCTTTAAAATACGCACTAATAAAATCTTATTAGCTTTTTATTATCAACTGTCTCAACACACAAATACTGCAAGCAGCCGGGATTTTCTGGTCACTGTGAGCATGACTCTAGATTACCTAGCAATCAATGCATTTGTTTTAATGTCTCTGGCAGTTGACGTTTCTGAAAAGGTAACAAATTTTTAGTATCATTCAGGCAATTTGCAAACATACTTCTGTCTTTAAGGGCCCTCCGTTTATTTCAACACAATTAAGGAATGAATTCAATCTGGGTAAGCTACTATGATTTATTAACACCTTCCTTTAGCTGATGTTCCACAGCTGGCTGGGCAAAAAAGTCTATGTTAGAAACACACCAGGTATTTAGGAGTTTAACTTGCTATAAATTCTTTGAAGTCAATAGGTAGGATTTAAAAATCAATGGAAGGATATGGCTCAAAAGTGCCTTTTCCAAAGCTATAATAGTACAAATATTATCACTGAGCACTCACTTATACGCAAGAACTGAACATTTGAAATAAAAGCCTAGAGATCTAAAGGTGTGAGATGACATTGAAATCAATGCATTTAAGTCCCTAAATAGCTCATCTGATTCATCTCACCAACAAGAATATATGATTGTCTCTAGAACAGACATTTACAGTAGCGGTGCTTTTGTGGTGGAGTACTTTGAAATCTGCTTTGTTAAAAGTGGTAGTAGAAGGACAGCAGTGAGAAAACAAGATAAATATTTTAGTGAGGAATTACATGGTTGAGGAGTCATACATGAGGGGTCCTATTCTCAACAGATTTCACTGACTTTGCCTGAGTACACTTTGGTTACGTTAGAGGTGGTTTTGGTGGAACGTACATACTAAGACTGAGGAAGCAGTTATTAAATTCACCCAGCAGAGTTAAAGGAAGTGTTAACCTCTATTTTTGGTCTCTTAATGGCACTTGGTCCTACGTCATTTAAGACCACAGATGTTGCCTCTTTCTCTAAAGAAAATATGTTACCAAACGACATTTCAGAAGAGTGGTCCCTATTAGAAAATACAACTCAAATCACAGTACATCCCCAAATACTATCACAAAATAAACACACAACTCAAATGTGGCTATTCCAACCATTTAAGTATTACCATAATAAAAACCACAGAAACAAGGGAATGAACAAACATTATAGCATCAGAAAAAATGTCACTCTTCAGAAGTCATTCTCTCTGCAGTAAACAGAATTGGTACCAGCATTAGCAAAAGAATAATCACATACTCTTGCTTATCAGATGCCAAGATATGAGACAATCATGCCTCAGCCCACGCAATCATGCTGCCTGATGTTGAACATATTCCCCCTTCAGTTGTAGCTGTACAACTGCATAGCTCCACCTCCGGTCAGACCTAGGATGCTTTCGCCCATGTTATGATAATAACTTGCAAAGAAATGTAGCAACAGTATAGTTGTATGTACCTAGTCCCAGGTCATTGCTAATAGAGGCCTGTTTGCCAAAGACTTTTGGAAACAGAAACCTAGATCTGTAAACAGCTCTCACTTCTTGCTATGTGGCCACTCACTTCAAAAAGTCTTTCACCAAATTGTGCACTTCGAAATCTTCCAGAAGGCATTTTTTACATTAATACACATACTTTTTTCATTTTTATTGCAACATGAAATGTTTCTGTAATATTTCCATGGCAAATTGGGTAACAATACATTTAACCTTTCCATCAAATAAATTATATTTCAGTTCTAAGTATCTATATAAAATTAATTTTTTTAAGCTCTAACCCCAGAATCATCTGAGATTGCAAAACTCTAAACCCAATAGGGCTTAACAATTTCAACTATTTATATTATTAAGACCTGCACTTTTCAAGCGTGTCTATTAACCCCTTAGAGGTTAGGACACTGAACCTCCTGATCTTTTAATTCACAGATTACTTCAGGCCAACAAGGTAACGGTGTGAGCACAGCCTTTGTACAGGGCTTCCACCAATGCAAAACAGATTTGAGTTCTAGCCCTGCAATATGCTTCATCAGCTTGTGCCTTCAGAGGTGAATTCCTGGTTCTACAGTAGGGAATGAATTGATGTTTTCTTTGTGCTTTTTGGACAACAATCCAGTTCCTATATGCAAGACAATACTGATTGAATGATCCAGCCTGGAATAGTGGGTGGTGTGGCCGAGTGGTGGAGTCCCCAAAATGTTCCCAGAACTCTGAGGTCTTGTTTTCATTTACTGCTCTCTGGAAATTTAGGGAGACCTTGAAGTGGGCTGTTTCCATAATGTACAAGCTTATAAGGCCTATAGCCTTATAAGACCAGGGAGTTATTTTATTTAACATAGAGATTCAGAGTATTTTTATCCAAGTATAACTACTGATTCAAACTTTTCAAATAATTTGAAATCATTACATAAATTTTCTCTCCATGAATTACTAGAGAAAACAACTGTTTTTCATAGAGAAATGGGATAATCAAAGTTTCTCTGTAATTGTCAGATTTGAGGTATTTATTTTTCCACAGGAGCAAAGATGTTGGATTGCACTGGTAAGGGTCTTTTGTGCATTTCCTGACTAACTCCGGTGCTGAATACCCAAGGAAATGCTGCATCCTTCACCTACTTACTTTGAAAGGAGTAAGGAAGAAGATGAGTTTGCTGAGGAAGTTAAGAAACACAAAAGAGTATACTTAAGTCACATTTTTCTGACAGGCATGGAAAGCTCACCTGGGTATACATCTGGGGTGTCTCATAACCAGGTCTTCAGCATATTGCAGGACATTCTCGGTACTTCGCAAGATTGAGCTCTTAGTCATAAAAATATATTTTTACGTATAAAAATACAGCAGATGTCCTTCCAAAAATCCTATCTTAAGTGTTATTCCCTCTCATTATGTTTTATACATTCAGAAACAGACATTTGAGATATACTGTGAACAGTGCAAAAGTGTGTTTTATATTTATAAAAACACGCATTGCAGTACCTTTAAGAGCCAACTGAAAGAAAAGTCGAGAAAGGTTTCATCCTCAGAGAAATTCTGGTCCAAGCTGAACTTTTGTTTAGCAAGTTGTAAACAAACGTCTTAGAATGCAGAGAATCCTCTCATTTCTTTCCAGCTAAGGTAGTCTCAAACACATCAAGTCCTGCTTTGAAGTAAACCTGAGCTGAATTGATGCTGTTCAGCACCTCTGACAAGGCTGCTTGAAGGGTCTCATTTGACTGATGTAGTTTCCAGTGCTCCAGTGCCTCTAGCAGTACTGAAAACTGGCTTGTCCTTTCATCTAGTCTGTAAAGGATATTTCTAAAAGAGAACAATGGAGAATGGTAAACTTTTTACTTAAAACAATTCATCAGAAATCATCAAGAAACCCTGCCAGTATCAGCCACACTTTACAGATGATACATATTATGCACAGTAAGGCTGATCCATGGCAAACTGAAAGACAACTGCATATTTATTATGGCTTTGTAAAGTGCGCCTGTTCATTGATCCACGTCATACATTGAAACATTCACTAAATCTGACAAAGAAATCTCACATGCCTCTTTGACCATTCAAGATTTTATTCAAAATCCTGAGCCTAGACCTATCACACCCCTCATGAAGTATTTCATGTCTCAGCTGGATTCCATTTATTCCCCTCTAAAAAAAGTTTGGTTATTAGTGTAGACCCTAGGCATGGGATGGTTGGGGTTTTTTTCCTATCTGCTCCTCTTACTTATTTCACACTTCAGAGGAGAAATTCTAACTGCACTGAAGTCAATGGTAAAACTCTCATAGCGTTCAGCAGAGCCTTTATTTCACCAACAATCCTTTGTGGCATTGGAACAAGAGCAACCCATCTTTAATGTCACACACTTGAGAAAGGAAATAAATGGAATGTACAGCTAAACCCTTAGGAAACAAAATCTGTGTTTTCCTAGAGTATCTGCAAGATTTTTTAATGGCTTCTATGAAAACACATGCAAAGGTAATGTCTGATCCCTTGGAAACACCTCTGTATGAGGTGCTGAAGGCTCAGAATTCAAAGCTACTCAGTGATTTCAGTGAGAGTCTTTGAAGCAGGCTATAAATGTTATCTAAAAACAGGTGTAATCATTATCCTAATTAGAAGAGCATGTAAATATAATAAATCTCCACCCTTGAGCTCCTTTGATTGTAAACAGAAGTGAGCGAAATTTGAAACAGGAAAGCTACATGTGATTTGGTGCAGGACCTTATCCTTAAGTACAAGGCAGGTGTTCAGTGCAGGGGAGAAGTAGTTTCACAGAATGAAACCAGCAAGAAAGCAGGACCACTTAGATACTCCATTAGTAACCTAACTGCATGACAGAACAGGCCCAAAGACAACTCCAGATTAGTAATAACACTGCCAAATACCTACAAGACAGATGACCACAAAAATATATCTTATTATTATATGAATCATCTAATTGACAGTCTACAAGGTGGAATGGTAATGAAGTAGCCCAATAAATGACACTGCCGAACATCTACAATCTTCTGCTATGTTTTCCAGTTTGAAAAAAATGCTTTGAACGAGGGGCAATGTTTTTCAAAGATATGAAATGACTCCTATCCTCATAACACGTTTGTTCAATCTTTCTGTTTTTACCTTCCCATATTGGGTACACATCCAAAACCAGAGGTGTGCAATAGGACTGGTAAGTTTTTTATCCCCTGACAGCCACACATCTAGCCATTTCACGTGTTCTGCAATGCAATACATATTAGTTTTAAACAGAAACTGTTCACATCCAACACTACAGTAGAAGGATAGCTTACAAAGCTTAAATAGTAGGTCATCACTGACCTAGATCATTTAGACTGAAACAAGTTAGGAGTGCTTGCAGGAACAGCTCAGCAGGGACAGAAACATCCATCAAGAGGACAAGAACAAACAGATGTGTCAATAACTTCTTCACCTTGCATTTGCAGCTGCCAGAAGACAACTGCCTGCTTCCTCAGTTCTGAGTTGATGCTACTGTTCCTTAAGACACTTAGAGCTTACACTCAAAGCTGTAAGATGCAGCTTACACTCAAAGGTGACTAAAGCTATATTATGGACTGTCCCTAAAGCATCTCTGTGAAACAGTAAATGAAAACTGTGTATGTTGAGAACCAGCTAAATTCTTGGTTGGTCGGTTTTTAAGGATAGGCTGTGCTATAGGAAATACTGTAGTTTTCAAAGCAGGGATTGATTTTGTTCCCTCTGAAATCAATTCAGGAACTCCTGCTGAGATCAGTGAGAGCAGAACCAGGCTTCTGAAGAACTCTCCTCTATAGTTCCCATAGTTCACAGCGAGACAGAAGCCTGTTCATGACCCCTCAAAGCCCCTGAACAGCAGGGGCAATGCTAGAGATAATCACATTACTTTCTACTCTCAGGAGGCATACGACAGTCCTATCTGGTTGCTGGTGGTTGCTGAAGTTTGACTGAGCTAGAATTCAGCTCCAAATGCCTACAACACTGGCATCTTGATCTATATTAGGATGCCTCTATTCCATTAATGGGGGTAGTGTCAACTAATAAAAATATCCTACGACAATGACAACCAGCAGAGCAAAACTAAAAGACTGCTGGAAATCAGACTCTAAAGAGAGAATGACCTGAAGACTGGAATATTTGGGGACTGCTGAGACAATGTTTGTGGTGAATAGCGACAGATCTTCTCCTATCCCATCTTTGAATGTGCTCCAAACAAGGCACATAGGCTTTTAGATGGTTTACCTTGACATACAAGGATGTTAATACAGTTTAATTCTACTGCTGTGATTTTGGAATCACGGGCAACTCCACAGTAAATCCACAGGCAGATGATGCACTGTAAAAGACAAGTATTCCTAGCCCATCCCACCTGACTATGGTACAAATCAGTGTCTAATGAGAACAGCTTAGTTGTTTCATAAATAAAAGAGCCAAGCAGCCTGCTGTCATAATTTAAAAGAATATCTTAACTTTTGCAATAGTAATGGCACTTCGGCATAGCTGATTGCATAGTACAACAGAACCTATTTTTGATTTTTATGTATACAAATAACAATAAGTAACATTAGAAGGAACCTGGTTTTTCAGATTCTCTGCCAGGAATTCTCACCAGGATCTTACATTTTCCAATTACTTATCTTTGCTCGGCAAGTCATGCCACCCCTTTGTTGCATAAAATGATTTCTCTCTTTATGCATGTTCATGAGAGTCAATTTATACAATTTTACTTCTTATCTTTGTCCAAGCTTCATGAAATGAAAAAAATGCTTAGTCCAGTTTATTACTTTCAAGGCTTTACAAGTCAGAAAAGAGTTTTCATTAAAGATTACATGTGGACTAAAAAATAAAACGCAGCCATTTTACTGGCACAAGATACCACTCTGTGACCACAATATGCACAATGATACCGAGACTTCAATTTATACTGTGAAATTCAATTACTTAAACACCCCTTAATACAAATTGCTTTTGTAACCTACACCTCTAAAACAACAGTTCCAGCCTCTGGCCTAATTACTTAAGTATCTACCTTCATCTTTAATTATTTTGATATTGTAAATATAATTCACACCATCAGCCTGACCCACACAAAACAAAAACAGACTCCTAAACAGAAAAGTGCAATATGTTATTGATGACACTAATGAAATTACAACACACAATTAATCTTAATGGGCTTGCTTCAATGACATACCACAATGACCTGAAAAGTATAACGCTGAAGTAGGAAACCTGATTAGTAACTTCACGCAGAAAGAGGTAAAATGGCTCCAAACAAAAGAATCAGTCTTAGCAAACTAAAGCAAAGAATCTATGAAAAATAATTCTTAAAAAACCTCTTCTACAACTTTTATGAGCCCTTTGCAGGTCTAAGACCATAAACATTATGGACCGAAATAATGACATTAAAGTTAAACGCTGTTTTACATTATCACAAATAAGGATGTAATGTCACCCCCACCGGACCAAAATTAATTTGACAAATTCTTGAATGACAGATCACACTAAAAATATATTGACTTTAACACAACCTCTAACTATTTTGGACCTTATATTGGAACAAATGGACAGTACAAGATAAAACTAGATTACTACATTATTCTTGTCATGAAAACAGGATTTTTTAGCTTAGAATAAAAGTTTGTGTGTAGGTAATGCACAACACAAGCTGAATTATTCAGGTACTTACAAATAGCCTCCTATCTAAGAGCTTACGTTTGAGATTTTGAAAAGTAATTATTAAATCATTAGGACATGACGGCAAGCACACAGTCCCACATGAAATGAGTGCAGGTTTTCTCTGTGGAATCACATTAGAATTATTTACAGATAAATGCTATGGGCAGCCTTTGTCTATTCTAGTTATAACACAATGTGCTGTGACTAGAGATGCTTCAGCATCCTCACAAATTCAATTTTATAAATCCCTGAATTATTTTTTTCTTGTACTCTCCAACAAAAAAAAACAAACCAGAGCAGGGGTTCTCTGCATTTCCCTTTCTCTTGATAACGTTCAGTTTCAAATGCACTTTTCTTACATGTAGGAGTTTGTTTGTAAAACATAAATTATTATTAACTCAGTAAATAAATAAATGCATTCTAATAATAATATTTATATGCTGAGACTTCCAATTCTACAGGGTGTTTGTTTATTGTCATGTTGGAACTTCCAGTTCCACAGGGTGTTTATTTATTGTAGGACATAAAAATATTACAAATTCTTCTTAAGCTGAGAACTGCATGAGCTGATTTATACTAGTTTATTTACACTAGTTTGTACCTCAGAAAATTTTACGGTGAAGGTACAGAAAGCTTCCCTTCTTCCTCTGTGCCCCCTATCCTTTTGACCTCCAACAGTGCTTCTCCTTTCCTCTCTTTTTATTTTTTTAAATGTTTTTGACACCCACATACAGTTATTTTCTCGTACCTATTTTATTTCACAGCACTATTGTGGCAGAAGGTTTACAATTAAAAAATTATAGCTGTTAGCTGGGTAAGACTAACTTTTATCAGGACAGAATTTATGCACTGGTGATCTGTCATTACATGTTATTATAGCTGATCTAGAGGAAAAAGAAACTTTTCTACAATGCTCACTTCTTGCTGGATCAAGTGGTGGAAGTCACTAGCTCTGGGGCCATGTGATCGAATAACATGCATGGGACCAGGGAAGATGGGGATACTGCAGCCAATCTTCTAGGGCAACTTAGTTGTAAATGTCACTCTATTCCCTCACTGTCCTAAGTCCCCACAAGCTCAGCGTGTCACATTTAAGGATCCTTTATTTGTAATAAGTTGTTCCTAACCTCTG